CATTCCTGCCTTTACCATTAATGAACAGAAGTGATTTTCCAGTCCTCTGGTTCTTAGCCCTCCCTTAGCAGTGGGCACAAAGCCCTGGTCTTCTCAGCACACGAGTTCAGCCAGCCTTCCTTGTCCTCCCATTTGTGCTATTGTGAGCCATGGCCCACCTTCTGTCTTCCCTTATCCCTCCTAGCAGTATTCACCTCTAGCAGGAATCTCCCACCTCCTGCACAGAGCCTTCAGTTTGTTGATCCTACTGTTTTCTCATGCTCCCTCCCTGCATTTCATAGCCTTTCTTTCTTCTCCCTGATTTAGAGTCTGCAGTTATTTACATCATTTCCTCACATATAGCCTCAACTTCCTTGCCCCTTCTTTACCTTATAAAAACCAATGATAAATTCAGCTGTCTGCTTAATTTGCCCTGATACACGTACAGCAGATTTTGGTAGGGAAAACCATCATGCCAACTGGTCTTGCTTCCCTTGTAGCCTTCCACCACAATTCAGTAGTGAGCCAACAAAGGATGCTTCCTGTACCACTCTCCCAGATAGCAATTTTGTGTTTTCTCTCCTCTCAAGACTTCCCTGTCTTTATCTTCCACCTTTTCACTGTTAACTCATGAACTTGCTCCTTACTTTTCCAAGACAATGACATTGAACAAAACTTCCAGAGGGACCAGCAGTTAGCATAATGGCTATGTTGCTGAACTCCCATGTAGTCAACCATGGTTCGAATCTCAGACCCAGTGGCTTAAACTAATGCCGGGCGTGTGTGTGTGTGCATGCCCAAGATCCCGAGAGGAGAATGGAGGAGAAGGGATTGCGGTGTGGCCATTCCCCCTTGGGGGTGATTTCTCACTTTTTGTCTCTCTGTCTCACTTTGTTTGTCTGGCGAGCGCATGCGCCCTGTAGCAAAAACCTCTCCCCAAAAAGGAAGGAAGGAAGGAAGGAAGGAAGGAAGGAAGGAAGGAAGAAGGAAGGAAGGAAGGAAGGAAGGAAGAAAGGAAGGAAGGAAGGACGGAAGGACGGACGAACGAACGAACTTCCAGAGACTGCAGCTGTCACATTGCTTACCTACCAGCTCCAGCCTAGTCTCTGTGCCCTGCATCTTAGTGTGTTTTTATGGCTAAACTTTCCTGCTTCTTTGCCCCATCCCAGATCCTCTCTTGCCTCCTCAGAAGCACTGCTCTGACTCTTGTTCCATTGTCTCTTACATTATCAGTTCTTTGTTGTTTATAGACCAGTCCAGAAAAAGCATGAACATGTTGTCATTTCTGCTGTCTTAAAAAAAAAAGTTCAGATTAGCCCCGTAGTGCACCAACTAAGTATTGTACAGAGGAAACCACATTCCATATGACTGACCAGGGTTTGATTCTGGCCTAGCAACTTGAAAAAACACTCTAGGTGCGGGAACCAGCAGTTAGCGTAATGGCTATATCGTTAGACTCCCACATAGTCGACTGTGGTTCGCGTCCCGGACCCGGTGGCTTAAAACTCACGCCGGGCGCGTGTGCATGCATGCCCAAGATCCCGAGAGGAGAATGGAGGAGAAGGGATTGCGGTGTGGCCATCCCCCCTGGGGGGTGATTTTTCGCTTTATGTCTCTATGTCTCTCTATGTCTCTCTGGCGACTGCATGCACCCTATAGCGAAAAACACTCTAGGTGCAAGCACATGCAGGTGTTCAGGATCCTGATGGGATGGAGAGATGAGAGGAAAAAGGATTGCCATGCAATGAGGCACCCTTGGGAGATTTTCTCTCTCTCTCTCTCTTTCTCTCTTTCTTGTGCACACCCTCTGTTATTAAAAAAAAATCTTTCTATTGAGCCATCTCTCACATTTTAAAAAATTGTTCCTGTTTGCAAAGATAATAAAGGAGTTGTACATATTTGCTCTCTTCAGTTTTACCAATCTTTCGTTTAACATTTTTGACTGAAGTATAGAGAAGTATAGAAAATGGCACAGATAAAGCCTAAGGAATTAGCACAAAGTAAATAAAATACCCAACCACTATGTAGATCAAGAAACTAAACACCATCAATACCTTCTCCCAAAGGTAACTAACCAGTTTTCCTTAGTTTGGACCCATTAAGTAGAGTCATATGTTATGCTGTTTTGTCTATGTGTGTGATTATGTGACTTCCTTCACTTGGTTTTATGTAATTCATCCACATTATTGCATGTAATTGTAATTTTTTTATTGTGTCAAATACCATTGTATAGTATGTCTATCCATGGGTTTTGTGGTTTCCAGTTTCAGCTATAACATTGTCCTGAATAATTTTTCTACATTTGAGTCATACGTGAATGCATTTCTGTTCTATACTGGGGAGGGGTTTGCTAGATCATAGGATGTGCTTATGTTCATCTCCAATAGACAAAGCAGTGGCTTTTCCAAGTAGTTATTCCCGTTTACACTCTCACTAAGGGTGGAGATCATTGTTTCCTCCTCACCGACACTTGCCTTTGGACGTTTTTAAGTTTGATCATTCTGGGGGCTTACCTCATTAGTTTATTAGTTTATTTGCTTTTAGTTTTGCTGGGTTTTTGCTGGTTTTGAGTATGGGTAGTATGGTAGAGAGGTTGGTCTTGCTTTTTTGTCTTTTTTTTTTCTCCCCTTAACTTTATATTATGGAAAAATTTAAACAAAATTTTGAACATATGAATGTGTACCTATCCAGCTGATCAGTTCATAGCCAGTTTTTTCTTATTTATACATTATACACTTACTTCTACCATATTATTTTGAAGCAAATCTCGAATGTGTCATTTCATTTGTATATATTTCAGCTTATATCCACTGAAAAGCACATACCAAAGACACAATAACTCTTAATATCATCAAATACCCAGTCATTGTCCAAATTTCCAGTGGTCTCAAATGTCACAAGTTTTCTTTAATTTTGTATTATTTATTTGAATGCATACATTATGATTAGTTAATATGACTCTTAAAACTGTTTTAATACATAGTTTTCCTCTTTTTTTTTTTTTAATCATTTATTGGTTGAAGAAACTTTGTGGTTTGTCCTACAGAATTTTCCCTCCACCTCTCTGAATTTTGTCAGTGACATCCCCGTTGTATTAGTTTCCTAGTACTGCTGTAACAGATTGCCTTAAATTTTGTGGCTTAAAACAACAGAAATTTGGGACCAGCAGTTGGCATAATGGCTATGTCGCTGGACTCCCTTGTAGTCGACTGCCGGTCAAGTCCTGGACTCTGTGGCTTAAACTCATGCCAGGCGTGTGTACCTGCATGCCCAAGATCCCGAGCAGAGAATGGAGGAGAAGGGATTTCGGCGTGGCCATCCCCCCTGAGGGGATGATTTCTCACTTTCTGTCTCTCTGTCTCTGTCTTTCTGGCGAGCACATGCGCCCTATAGCAAAAACTTCTCCCAAAAAATACCCTAGAAATTTAGTATCTTTCACTTCTAGTGGTACACATCTAAAATCAAGATGTCAGCAGTGTTGGTTCCTTTTGAAAGCTCTCGGGGAGAATCTATTCATGCTTCTCCTAGCTGCTGTTGGCTATTGTCAATCCTTTGTGTTTCTCGGCTTCAGACATAACTCTCTATTCTCCGTGTTCACATGACCTGACTTGCATTTCTGTGTCTCTCAAATCTCCCTCTCCTTTCTGTTTTTGGATGCTGGTCATTGGACTTAGGAACTACTCCAAATCCACACAGTCCTTAGCTTAATTATATTTGCAAGGCCCTGGTTTTCAAGTCACATCACACACACAGGTCTCCAGGAATAGGATCTAGATATATCGTTTTAGGAAACCGAAGTCAACCACCTGTACGTACGACGGTATAATTTCACTTGTTATGCTATCATCTACATTTTCTGTAAGTTCTTAGTTGAACCTAAAAGTTTCAGTAGATTGACTTCTTGGCTTTTGTTTGTTTCCTTGCTTCTTGGGGCAAGACTACTTCACAGTTTGGCGATTTAGTCTTTTACCGGTAGATACATGGTGGTAGTCACACTTTTTGAGACATTAGCAGCCCTGAGGATTACTACCTTGCAATGCCTCATTAATGATGCCTCATTAATGATGAGGCATTTGCAAAGCAATATATTCTAGTTCTGGTTATTTTCTCTCAAACCTATTCTTGTTTGGCATTTGTTCCTACCAAAACTAAGCTTGTCAGGAGTGAAGATCACTCATGACTTTCATGTTGCTGATCCTGATGGGTAATTTTCTGAGCCTTTTCATGGCCTCTGCTACGTGACACCGTTGGTCTCTTAACTCTTCCTTGGTAAACACTTTCATTTGGCTTTCAAGGACATGTTCATGTCTGTAGAAATACATAGGCATAAATAGTGATTATGAACACTTAACACAGATTTCCATTTAATACCATTAAGTGGAAAGGTGGTTTGTGCTAGAGGAAGCAGCTGTGTGAGTCACAGTTGGTGCTTCCTGGAGGGGAGCAGGGATAGGGAAGGTTCCTGCTGTATTCTGCTAAATCCTTTTGTATTATATAGCTCTTTCAATAATGTGACTGTTGTTTTGAAAGACAGAATCAATTTTTAAAATACCTTGTTGGTGTAGTGCTTTTATTTTGCCATAGGTGTTCCTGGCCAGTGCGTATTTCCTTCAGTGCCCTCAGACTATTATTTTCCGGGTTTGTCTCTTGTCTCTTTCAGAATGGCAGTTCGGAAAACCCTCATTCCTCCTCAGCCTCCTGAAGTGGCTAGTCCTCGAGTGGAGAGCTCTATGCGGAGTACATCTGGGTCACCTAGGCCTGCAGGGTGAGCACATGAATGATATCACTCTTGCTTTCAGTTCCATATTGTTGACAGAGTGAAAAATCATATTGCTTTCTCTCTCTCTCTCTCTCTTTTTTTTTTTTTTTTTGAGAGTTTTTTTTGCTATAGGCACGGTCGCTCACCAGAAAGAGAAAGAGACAGAAAGTGAGAAATCACCTCTGGGGGGTGGGAGGGTGGCCACACTGCAATCCCTTCTCCTCTCAGGTTCTTGGGTACACATGCACACGTGGCCGGCATGAGGGTTTTTTCGTTTGTTTTTGAGAGGTTTTCGCTATAGGGCGCATGCGCTCGCCAGAAAGAGAGAGACAGAAAGAAAGTGAGAATTCACCCCCCTGGGGGAATGACCACACCGCAATCCCTTCTCGTCCATTCTCCTCTCAGGATCTTGGGCACGCACGCACACGTGCCCGGTGTGAGTTTAAGCCACCAGGTCTGGGACTCAAACCGTGGTCAGCTACATGGGAGTTCAGTGACATAGCCACTATGCTAACTGCTGGTCCCTATGCCTGCCATGAGTTTTAAGCCACCGGGTCCAGGATTCGAACCGCAGTGACTACATGGGAGTCAGTAGCCATTATGCCAACTGCTGGTCCCAAATCACATCATTTTCTTTTCTTTTTTTTTTTCTTTTTGAGAGGTTTTTGCTATAGGGCACACGCGCTCACCAGAAAGACAGAGACAGAGAGACAGAAAGCGAGAAATCATCTCCCAGGGGGATGGCCACACTGTAGTCTCTTCTCCACTCTCCTCTCAGGATCTTGAGCATGCACAAACATGGGACCAGCATGAGTTTAAGTCACCGGGTCTGGGACTCGAACCATGGTCAACTACATGGTAGTCCAGCGACATAGCCGTTGCGCAAACTGCTGGTCCCCCAAATCACATCATTTTCTTGTGCGCATCTCTTTATACGCACTTTCTAGCTGCAGGTCTTGCATGTTTCTCAACCAGTCTGATTTTCCTTTGCCTCCTTTATGAAGCAGCCATATTTACAAGATCTGTCTCTTAGAAATCTTGTGTGTTTAAATGAGATGATGTGGTTAAAGCACTTAGAACAGAGCATGCCTCATAGGAAACACCCAGCTGTTATTGCCGTCAAAACTGATATGGCAACAGTAGATAATGGATGCTTTTCCTTCATTTCTTTATCTTCTTAATCTTCTTAATTCCAAGAGTAGTATTTGGGGGGAAATAATGAAACAATATAAAAATACTTTAAGTGAAAATCACTGTCCTAGTCCCCATCCACCTCGCCCATATAGCTCCTAAAGTAATAACGGTTGGTAACAGTTTTGATAAGTATCTTTTCACATTGTTTTCTACACACATAGGTGGGCACATTAAAGTATTCTTGCTGATTTACAGTGTCTTACACTTTTTACTGATTATCAGTGATAGTTTACCATGTTAGAATATTAGATGTACTTCTTCATAAAACTTCATTCAAAAAAAGGTTACAAATGCTTTGTGTCAGGTATCATTTTAAGATCTGGAGGTATAAGCAGATTGTAGTAGACACAAAGTGTCCATCCCCTTTAAGCTTGCTTTCTAGTGAGTGTAGGGACATAATAAATGAGTAAAAGGAAACAGTGTAAAGGGAATATAAAGTAACTGGAGGAAGAAGTAATGGTTTACAGAAAGGCTTCTCTGAGCAGAGTTTAAAGAGCATGAAAGAATAAGCCACCTGCTCTCTGATGTCAGAAAGAAAAGATGTCAAGACTTTGGTGCAGGGTTCTTGTGGTCATCACTTTGCAGATTAGGGGAGAAACATAAAAATGACCATGGAGGTTCATCAGGTGGTTAAGGCATTGGATCACATACTCCCTGTTCGAGGCCTGGACCTGGCGGCTTGAAAGACACACCAGGCACGTGTGTGTACCCCAAATCCCAAAATGAGATTGGAGGAGAAGGGAGTGCAATGTGGCCATCCCCACAGGAGGTGACTTCTCACTCCCACCCCTCCCAGCAAGCTCACACACCTTATGGCAAAACTCAAAAAGAAAAAGAAAGAGGAACTATGGAGGCTCAGAATGTGTGTAATGATCTTGATAATTGATGGCAAAGGTTATAGCTTTCTGGGGCCTTTAAAAACCGGGACCAGCAGATGGTTTACATTGCTGGACTTCCATGTGGCCAACTACAGTTCAAGTCCTGGACCCGGTGGCTTGAAGATCATGCCAGGCATTGTGTGTGCACATACTCAAGGTCCTGGGAGGAGAATGGAGAAGGGATTGCAGTGTGGCCATCTCCACTGGGATTTCTCATTTTCCTTCTCACTGTCTTTGTCTCTCTCTCTCTCTCTGGTGAGTGTACATGCCCTAAGGCCAAAACCTTTTTTTAAAAAGTAGATTACTAAAAACTGTCAGTTTTATACACATACATATATGAAAATGAAAAAAAAATGTGAAATGAATCTTTACTTGGTACATTGTAATTTACACCTTTAGACACACAAATAAGTTGGGGCATACTGCTTGTTGCCTTATTTACAGAGCAAGAATTCTAAGCCTTAGCAAATTGTCGTACTCCTTCCCAAATTTGAATTCATGTCCAGCATTTTATCTTTTGTATTTCAACATTGTGAAAAATAATTCCAAGGGTTCCTTTACCAGTTCTTTCAACCACCTTTCACCAGCATCACTGCCAGTGATGTCTGTTCTTTTGTCAAAGCCATTTGCCTTCACTACTATTGAGACTCTGGGTACCTGTTTCAAGCAGCATCTTTCTCGGTGCTGCCCGTTCATCAGTCATATTCATGCTGAATTCTGAAGTGCTGAAACCGGCCTTTACTGACAGGAAAGGTTTATCTTCTCTTTCCTTGTAATTACTATTTTCTTTCTGCATATCAACTATCTTCAGTACTTTGGCTTTGAATGACTGATTCTTAAAAATTATTACTACTGCATTAAATTTAAAATAAAAGTAAACACTCTGTTTCTGCCATAAATGATTTTCTCTTCCTACTGCAGTTTAAACCAATAGATGATATTAAAGTGACTTTACCATCTTTTTAGATTCATTTAGCTTTTTCAATAAGATCTGTACCATGGTGTCATAGAAGCCTACTCCTGTACTTCCCCACTTTTTGCTGGGCCATTTTCAAACCTAATCATGTCTAATTTCACTTCCAGCATTATCTGTAGTCACTTCTTTGTTTTTTTTGCTGTATTTCATTTTTGTTGCTTTCAATTTCATGTGGATTTCTCCCTGGAAAACAAGAATAACACAACTACATGCTTCGCTATGTCTCTCCGAAATGTTATTCAGGTATGCAGTGACCTGTCACCACCAGGTTTTGAAGGAAGTGATGTAGTTAATCACTGATTGCGATGCACATCTGTTACTTCCATAGTGATTCGTGGTCTATAGAGCCAGCAGCATAGTGTATACATTGTACACTTACTCACAGTTAGTATACAGCGATTATTGACATTTAAACAGAGTTGTTAAGGAATTGAGTCAATAACTAAGCATACATATGTGAAAGTCACGTGCATCGGCTTTGTGTGAAATGAGTATGCTTCATGTTAGGGATACAGAAAAGTAGCAAGGGGGACCAGCCTACAGGAGTGGGGAACGTTACATAAGATGCTTAGAGGTGTAATTGAGACACATCATATTGGGCTTTGTGGGCCTTAGGAACTTATCCTGTTAGAGGTTAAGACATAGGATAGGAGTGCTATGATTTTACTTTTTTTTTTCCCTTCTTTTAATACCAGGGCACATGTGCACATAGGAGAGACTGAGAGAGAAGCACCCCCTCAACAGAGACTGGTGACACTACAAGCCTGTTTCCTTTATTTCTCCATCCCTATCAGGATCCTGGGCATACATGTACTTGCCCAGTGTTTTTTGTTTTTTTGTTTTTCTTTCTTTAAGGTTTTTGCCATAGGGCATGTGTGCTTGCCGGAGAGACAGAGACAATGAAAGAGAAAGTGAGAAATCACTCCCCAGAGGAGGTGGCCATACCGCAATCCCTTCTTCATTCTGCTGGAATTTTGGGCGCCCTCATGCACGCCTGGCATGAGTTGCAAGCCACCAGGTTTGGGATTCGAATCTTGGTCTACCATGTGGGAATCCAGTGCCTTAACTACCATGCCACCTTAGACACTGCCCAGTGCATTTTTCAGGCCACCAGGATCAAACCATGGTCAACCATGTGGGATCCAGCACCCTTTGTACAGTGTTCATTCACTGAGCTATTGGGCCAACTCACTTTATTTTTAAAAGAATTGTTATGGCTACGTACCGAGAATAAGCTGCAAGAGGGCAAAAGTGGAAGCAAAGATACCAGGTGAAAGATAGTAGAGCCTTAGACTCTCTCGCGGCTTTGGACCAGTGTATGCTACAGGAATACAAAGGGAAAAGTGTCAGAGTCTAAAGTATTTGGTTTCTGAATGTGTTTCAGAGGTACAACTAACAGAATTTCCCGATGGAGTGGAGGAAAAGGGAGGAGTTGAGGATGGCTCCAAACATACCTGCGTAATTAGAGATAAAAAATTATACTTTCTTAGGTGAGGAATCCCATGGGAATTGAAAGGGAATAAATCAGGAGATTGGATTTAAATATTTTTAAGATCCAAGTGGTTGAATACCTAGATAGAGACATCAGATAGACAGCTAGATAGAAAATCCTGTAGTAGTACAATTCTAGAACTAAAGGCAGAGGTCCATGTTGGTGATAGACATGTGGGGATTTTAAGCAGACATATATTCTTTAAAGCCATGAGAGTATAAGGAGAGTGTAAATAGAGAATGAAGTGGTTTACAGACCATGTCTTAGGACACGCCATCTTGAAGGGGTTAGGGAAACGAAAACCCAGAAAAGAGGACAGTATTCTATATTCTCTGTTGCCTCTGGGTGTGTTGATGTCATAATTAGTTTTCAGCTAGTGAACACTCAGGTTATTTCCATTTATCTCTGTAATGATAATATAGAGCATCTCTTTGTACACCACTGAGCACCTTTGCAAACGTTTCTT